TTTGTCAAAGGAGAATTTGCTGTTTTATTTTCAAAAAAATTATGAGAAAGACCCACAATTCATTAATTATTTGCATATCTGTCTAACATCGTGAAAAGCTGTCATCTTGTCATTAATGTATGATCATGAGCGCATGGATAAAAAAAAGATAATTAACAGCAAATCTGTTAAGAAATGTTCTTTATAATAACAACTTATCAAATAGTATGAGAAATATCACTAAATCAAGGACATTTAAGAAATGAATTTAATTTTTGAAGATTCATGAGGACATGAACTATGATGCTTCACGCCGGCATATTTCATGAAGCGTGTTAGCGCTTCATAATAAATATGCCGGCGTGAAGTGTTGTAGTTCATGTACCTCATGAATTTTCAAAAAATTAAATTCATTTCTTATATTTACATTATTTTATGATGAGTTACCACAAAATACGCCATTCAACTGTCATTTTTAAAGCAAAACAGTTGGCACTATAGTTTTGACGTCATGTACGGTATTATGACGTAACAGTGAGGATATTCATGCTCACCAATGGTAGTTCATGAGAAAATGAACATCCTTTTAATTTGCAAAGAATCTTAAGAAAAAATATTTGGAAATGTAAATATACATGTATGTATATAGTTTATGTAGAACAAGTGTAATGGTGTAATTTTGCTATTTTGAATACCCAAATCCACAGTGTATATAACCTTAAATATGCGAGTCAGAATCAAACTGGCTTAGTATTTTTAGACCAGAGAGAAATAAGTTCAAATTTAAAAAAATATATATACAATGTATTGTTCATCCATCCATGAGTGCATGTGCGAGATGTGTATAAATTTATGTTGTAATAACAATTAAATCTCATCTCCTGAAGGGTTGTAAATTGATCAATGTCGTAAATTGATCAGCAGTAGTCAGAGTCACATCAGCGTTTGGAATGGATGGGTTTCTGGCTGAATTTCCAATTGTTCATCATATCTCTGTGCTATTATTGGTCCTCCGTGTGGAGAGATTGATTATAGTGCAGAGATATGGCAGTGAAGCTGTGTTAAAGCGTCCTTAAGGGAATAGATCAGGAAACCACTTATCTCGGTCGGAAACTGGCGGAGATTTTGATTCGGTTTTAGGCTTCTGAACACATAAGTATGGAACTTGCAGCCTCCGAGACTGAATATAATCACAAAGATAAATCAAAGGACGTGCATGTAACCCAGTACCAGATAAAAAAATCAGGATTTTTGTCCATGATAATAGCCTGAAGATTATTAACTGATATGCATCTATAAAGGTGTAGCTAAAATGAAAAATCTTCAAGTTGGTTATCATGCTTTATATACACACTAGATAAGCTCCATGGGTTTACTTTAAAATGACTTAGCCTCCTTAAAAAAGAGAATATATTTTGTACTCCTAATGCTTGGCCAGCTGACCTACTTCTTCATTTTTATGGTTATGAAAATACTTACCATAAATATAAGAGCTAGAGCTTAAAATGGAAAATCTTGGTAGAGTGGACTTTACTTTTGATATGACTCAATAAACCAAAAAAGTAATTTTATACCGGTAATGTCTTAAAGTCATGAATTTATCATGTTAATCCCCCCTCCCCTTTCGGGGGATGGAAGAGGATGTGGGTGAAACTAAGGCATCAAAAATAAAGCAGTACATATATGAGACATTTAATTTATATTATTTTTGGAAAAATTCAAGAGAATAAAAAGAGATTTTCTAAAGCTTTTGATAATTAAGTGCTGCATCCAGGGAATTGAAACCATTCAGATGTGAACTTAAACAAATTTTGTGTAATTTTAGGTCCTAAGTTACAACAAATAAATGTACATCAAATATTCATGTAGTCAAATAGTGGATTAACAAAATGCTCCATTAATTACAACTGTAATGATGTATAGGAAACAATTTAATTTTATTGATTGTAAGTTTCAATTCTTTTTCCAACAATTACTTATATACACATAGATTTGTTTTAATTATGTTTGACCTGTTTGAAAGCAAGGTATATATTCAATTACAATTGGCAAGAAAAATTGAGGTTCAGTCATTTTAGCAGAACAATATGAGCTGCTCTTACATATGATTCAAAATTGATTTAAAAGGTTTATAAAGAAGGTTAGGAGGTATTTAGGATCATCAGATTTTCACAGAGGTTACTTATCAGATATGACTTATTGATATGGTATTAGCAGTGTTTTATAGATTTATTAACTTTTGAAGATATCAGATTCTTTTTTAGCTCACCTGAGCCGAAGGCTAAAGTGAGCTTTGATCGCTTATCAAAATTTGCCCTTTGTCTGCTATCATCATAAACTTTACACATTTTCTTCTTCTTCAGAACCTGATTGGACCAATTTCAACCAAACTTGCAACTATGAAAAAGCTTTCTTTGGCAAAGGAGATTGTATGATTGGTAATATTGATATAGAAGAACAGGGGATCAAAGTTATACATAGGAATGTATAGGAATCATCTGATGATGACCAGCAGATCCATGATTTATCATTAGTCATATATACAAAAGCATTCTCAAGTTGTTTAGATTCAATTTTGTTCAAATGATGACCCCCGGGGTTAGGATGGAGCCACACGTCAGGGGATCAAAGTTATACAAAGGAATATGTAAGAAAAATATTTAAAAATTTCCTTCTCAAGAAAAGCAAGGTTATGATAAGTCATATTAATATAGAAGAATCCGCAGGTAGTTTAGATTCAAGTTTGTTCGAATCATGACCACTGGGGTTAGGATGGGGCAACAAAAGGGGATCAAAGTTTCACATGAATATATAGGAAATATCTTTTAAAATCTTGTCCTTAAGAACATGAAGAACAGCAAAGCCATGATTAGTCATATTTAATACTGAAGCATCCTCAGTTAGTTAGATTCAAGTTTGTTCAAATCAGGACCACTGGGGATCAAATTTCACACAGGAATATATAGGGAAAATCAAGAGCAGTAAAACCAAGATTAGTCATATTAATATGTAGGCATGTTGGTTTATATCATCACCCCAGGGGTAAGGTTGGAAAACTTATATAGTTAAACTTTTCAGTACCTAACAGAGTTCTGCTTTTCTCTTAATTACTATAGTGCTCAGGTGAACAATGTGGCCCATGGGCCTCTTGTTAAAATTGCTGGACTAATTTTTGAAGTAAAGTCAAACCTTGGTATCCCAGAAATGGCTGTGACTGAGTAAAAAACGTTGAGATATCCAAGGATTCAAGATATCGAGAGTAAAATACATTAAGAAATAGTGGTAGGGACTTCCAAATCATTTTGACATTTGAGATATCATTGTTCAAGGAACCCAAAGTTCAACAGTAATTTTAGAATGGGTGATATGTCAAAAACTTCCATATTTCCAAAGATTGAGTGTTTTCCAAGTTTATACATTATATATGTCAGAGCCGTAATTCTTCGTTATATTTGAAAATTAAGGTCATTGGAAGGAAAAAGTATGAATTTTCATCTTAGGATTATATTTCAGTAGTAGTAACAAAGATTAAGTATAAATGATGCAAATAAACTTTCAAAAAACTTTGAAATAACTATATATTCATAAAATAAATAAGTTAGACCACATAGATTTTTATTTTTCATTCAAAGTTTCATGATAATGTCAGATAAAGTGATAAAAAATTGTATAGCTTTATGAGAGTGATTTTAGAAAGGTAGAATTTTGAACAATATTCATTGAAAGTTTACAATATTGAAGTATTATAGAAATTGATATATGCATCATTTACAACTAAAATAGGTCCAAAAATATTGATCATCAAGGTGACCATTTTTTGGTTTTAGTTCATCTGTCTATGACTTTAAAGTTTATTGTTGACAAAAAGTAAAAAAAAATCTTTCGTCTAGAAGAAAAGCTTGTAACAATTAAAAACAGCTATTTCCATTCATATGTCGACACGATATCACTGGTGGATTTAGAGGGGAACCAGGGGGCCTGCCCCCCCCCCCCCCTTTTGTGTCCAAAATATACGTAAGATTTAATAATCAACTTTTTTTGGTGTGACTGTGGGCCCCTACCCCGACCCCAAACTGGTTGGGCCCCTGCTTTTCAAGATTCCTGGATCCATCACTGGATATATCCCAGTGAGCTTAAATTAAAGATACCACAGAGTCTGACACATCTGTTTCATACTTGGATATTTTACTAGAAAAAGACATTAATGGTAACCCTAACAACCAAGCTTTATGATAAATTTGATGACTAACTTTTCAATCATCAACTTTCCTTACTTATGTAGCAATAATTATATACCCTTATCACCTGCAAACGGGTTTATATCTCTCGATGCGATACATAAGAGCATGCTTTATCTATAAACAATTTCTAAAATGAGGTAAGTTATTGACAAACAAGTTGATGAAACAAGAATATCAACAGTCTCATTTAAAGTCATCATTTCATAAGTTCTATGGTCAATACAGTGACCTTGCCAGCAAATACAATCTATCAATAAGTCAAATGCTGACTGACGTTTTTCATACTAATTGTTAGGCCATTATTTACATACTAAATTGTCGACAGATTTTTCTGTTATTCCTGATCATGACAAGGAGCACACAGTGGGTGTAACTGGTCGGCAGGGGGTGCTCACTCCTTCATGACACCTGATCCCACCTCTGATGTTTTAGAGGTCCTTGTTTGCTCTACTCCTGATTTGTGTTGTTTGAATGGATCATTTTTGAGCTTGAATACTGTTCGTTATCTCCATATATTTCATTGTGCAAGATGCTCATAATTACTAGAATATATAAAAATACCCATGACACTAAGGTGCACAATCAAGAACCATAGGCTTTTATATGTGCATGTTTTTAAAGGATGATTTATTAGTTATGGTTTAGGGTTTTTAATTTAAAAAAAAAAAAAGAATAGGTCCAAAAAGGCATGTACATATATGCATCTGTTGCTATGTTGAAATCCTAATATCATGTTATTTTGAGATAATTTAAAACATTCTTTTTCTGTATTTTTATCAGGTTGTCTGTTTACGAACCAATTATGTGGGATAGAAGAGGTCTGCATAGATGGTAAGTTTTCCACCATATTTAAAAAAATTAAATGCAGCATTGGATTAAAGTGTTAATTATTGGGCTCTCACATTTAAAAAATAAAAATGAGGAAAAGCTAATTTAAAAGTTTCATTTTTTATTAAAAGGGAGAAAATGTCTTTTAAGATAACATGGTCCAGTGGAATATAATGATATATTTCAAAAATAAATTATGTGTGAAATTTTCATCAATTATGACATCAATTAGCACAGAATTAAGTATCTTAAATATGTTGTGACCAATATTAAGAATGAAACTTTCAATTTTTTGTCACTTGAGTCAGGTGACCTTTTGCTATCTGTTTTTGTCCCTCATCGCACGGGTGTGCTGTTGTGTGCCATGCGAAACTTTTTTTACATTGTTAACTTCTCAAGAACCTCTGGACCAATTTCTATTAAACTTGCCACAAAGTATCCATGGGTAAAGGGAATTAATTCAAGAAAGTTCAAATGATTGATTGTATGTTGTTCAACGTCCCATTCGAGAATTTTTCACTCATATAGAGACGTCACCATATACCGGTGAAGGGCTTCAAATTTTGACCTTTACTTGGCACTCAGGGCCATTGAGCAGTGAGGGATCTTTATCATGCCAATGCCTGCCGTGACACGGGGCCTCTGTTTTTAAGGTCTCGTCCGAAGGACCCGCAACTTTCACTTCAAAGTTCCGAGTGCATGGCGAAGGAACAGTTGCTACCCATTTTTTGCTAGCGCTCTCGAGCACTAGCAACTACGTTAGTCTATTTTCCTGGAATACGCATGCTCGACTTCACGGTAGGGCATTCTGGGAACACAACTGTAGATAAAACTGTACCAAGTAAATTTCGTTTAATTATCTGAAAATTCATATGATCTGAAGTTTTGTGCTTTGTTGTCTAAGCTGTATACAGTGCACCACTGCGCCTATTAATAATTAATCGATTCAGCAACTTAACAAAGGGTTCAGATATCTACTTCTGTGTTTTATGATGGCTAATGCGCTAGCTCACCCATCTTTTTTAAAAGATAAGCTTGTTATCAACTTAGCTTAGTTGCGGTTGAGATTTGAACTAACAACCTCCTGTTCATGGAGTGAGCTCTCTACTGACTGAGCTACCTTGAACGGTATAAGTTCAAATGATTGAAGGTAATCAAGAAAAGGCAAAAATAGGCTGGAGTCATTTAAAAATCTTTTTCAAGAACCACTTGGCCAGAATAGTTGAAACATATGAAAGCTTTTGACATTATTAAGATTTTAATGTGTTCAAATTATGGCCCCCAGGGATTGGATGGAGCCACAGAAGAAGATCTTTGAAATTTAATTACTCTCTTGACAATTAATCCTGGAAATAATAGAAAAATTGTCTTGCCATATAGTGGTTGGAGGAGAAAATCATTTAAAGTAGTGCATTTATTGATACTGAGTCAGTTACCATGGCAATTTTATTATTGTCAGATTCTTATGTAGCGGAACAAAGAGTTTTAATGACCATGAAGCAGTAAGTATCATGTCTTAAAACAGAATAGCAAAGTATATATGCTTGATCATGGATGCATTTTTTGGAAACTGTTGCTGTTGCCGTTGGGAACTGAATTTGAAATAACTGGTATTATTACAATTTAATGATTACTTTTGAAAGACAAATTCCAGTTTCATTGCCACAGGTAAATCCCAGGTAAAACTAACAAGTCATCGATTTAATAAATATAGAAATCTTGCAGTTGTCAGGCATATTATCCAGCCACATGCAACAGAAAAAAGATTGAATTTTCTTGAAGCAGGGGTGTGAATTACAAAAATTGGCTTAACTAGACCAGGGACTAGAAGAAGTAATAAAGTTACTAGCCCAAGGTCGTCAGTTACTAGCCCTTATTGATGGTATGATTATCGTTTCATGTACATGTATAACACAGAGCCTAAAAAATGAAGTCAAAATATGCAAAACTTTATATTCTATTAAAGTGAGCACAGTGAGCTTAATAGATTAATATGAAAGAACAGAGAAAATTCAAGCTAAGATCTGTATATATTCGTCAAACAAATTTTTGTGTAAATTCACCCAGAATTTCTCTGATACCAGCATTCCATGCAACTATGGTAAATTTAACAGGCTCACAGTTATAGTGAATATTTAATTCTAGCAGAGAGCTTAATTCATAATTGATGTAATGTTCGAAAATTAATGAGAGATCTAGGGCGAATTTGTTTCTCAAAAACTGGTTTTAGTTTTGAACTAGTTTTGTAAACTGTTCATTTGTTCCACAAACTGGTTTTAAACTAGTTTAAACCCAGAACCGGTTTTCCATTTGTTTTTGCTGTAACTGAAACCAGTTCGTTAAACCAACCAAACCACCTCCGATGGTGGTTTATTTGGTTTACGAAAGAGCGGGAAGTATTCCAGTATGGCGGTGATGAAAGATGGTGACTATTTTAATAAAGAAAAAAGTTATAGATGATTGTTTTTTCGAGGACAAACAACTCTTTTTGACTTTAATGCCACATTCTGATGTTTTATATAAAGCTTCAGAGAATAGATATATGCTGCATATTGTAATGGTGTTTGTTCAATGATAATTTTCAAAAATAAGTTCTGAATCATTTGAACAAACTTTATAACATGTATGGTAAATTGTAGAACATACTATAAAAACAGTTTTAATGTTGGAAATCTAAAGAGTATAATTATAAATACCCGAGTTTTTATCTTTCCATGTGTTAAAAATGTAGAAATTGATCATTTGATGAATCTTTGAGGCATTATAAATGTAAATACTGCATTTTTAAGTAAGATAAACAAGGAACAAAAAACTATAATTTCTTGGATTCTTTTATTAAGAAAAAGATTTTAACTTTATTTGCATGTGTAATTTGGTTAATATGTTGTTCTAGCTCTTCATATTAAAGTTCCTACATTGTAAATGCACATGAAAAACGTCATAAAATTCTTGCAATTCTATCTCTTTTTTTCATCAGCAGCATTATTTCCGCGTTAAATTTCCAATTAACATGATTAATATTAATATAATTAATCACAGGGACTTGAGACAATCTTAGCAAAATCGGGTATATAGTATAATAGTATTAATATATAATAATATTATACTATATACCCGATTTTGCTAAGATTGTCTCAAGTCCCTGTGTAATTAATCATTCATGGATCTTTTAGACGCCATCTTGTATAAACTGTTCATTTGTTTTACCGAGGTAAACCGGATCGAAACTTATAACCAGTTTGAAAACTAGTTTTAAACCTTAAACCAAAACCTGAACTAGTTTAGGTGCAACAAATTCGCCCCTAGATCCTGCATCCAAAAAAGTATTTATTAATTGATTCTAAACAGCTGAAGATGTCTGGTATTATTATTGTTTTCAGATTCTATAAACTTAAATTTGTTTATAAATAAATAATTAATTGTGTATGTGTGGTGGTTATGAGGGCATATGTGTGTGATGATAAATCTTTGTTTAAAATTTTTTTAACTTGATATATATTATTGTGTGGCAGTCAGATGGGTTCGATTGGCAGTGGCCAGATAGTTCAATTGGTAGGGCACCTGACTGGAGATTAGGGGGTCCAGGTTTGAATCCTGGTCTGGTTAGTTGCATTTTTCTCATGGTGCCCTGACCAGCTAGATGTGACAGGTGAAAGACTTGCCAGGGAAGAGCCTGGGTTGGTGTCTTTTGGGGCTGAATACCTTTAAGGAGGAGAAATGTAGCAGTCAGAAGGGTTTGATAGCCATTGGTCAGATAGCTCAGTTGGTAAAGCACCTGACTGGAGATTCAGGGGGCCCTGGTTTGAATCCCAGTCTGGTCTGTCGCATTCTTCACATCTGTTACAATTGTTTGTATTTAGTAATGAAAATTATTTTTTCTATTGTTTGTATTAGTAAGGAAATTTATTTTTATATTTTGGGAAATAATCTATACTATTCATGTATCAAAGTACCCTGGTAGTGATTCAGAAAAAAGTGTGTTTTTTTTCAATTTATTTAGTGTATTGGTTTCTTTTGGATTAGTTTTTGGAATTTGGTGGTGAAAAGACCATAGAAATATATATACATGTAGCACCTCTCCAAAGTCTGAGCCACAGTCAGATTTAAAATAATATGGAGAACCTTGTATTTGCTGATTTAGATTAAATATATGCCACTTTTGTAAATTGGGGTTAAGGTGAAGAGGACAATAGATTAGATATATAATGATAAAAATTTGAATTTTTAAGGGAAGGGCGTAGTGTTGATTTTCTAGTGGTAATTAATTTCTAATCAGATTTACCCCATCATCTTTCTAATTCCTGTGTTTTTAGGTCACCTGAGTCACTCAGGTGACCTATTGCTATCTGTTTTTGTCTGTCGTCGTTCGTCGTTCGTCGTTCGTCGTCAATCGGTCGTAAACTTTTGAACATTTTTAGCTTCTTCTCTGGAACCACTGAACCAATTTCAACCAATTTTGGCATATAGCATCTATGGGTGAAGGGGAACAAAAATTGTGAATTTCATGGTCCCTGCCCACCTGGGGCCTGAGGGGTGGGGCTAAAACCACCAAAAATAATGCAATCTTTAAAAATCTTCTTCTTTACTCCTGGACATCAAGCAGTCAAACTGTTGGCATCATTGTAATAAGCATGGAGCCCTTTATCAAAATTGTGAAATTCATGGCCCCAGGGTCAGGGGTTCTGGCCCCAGGGTGGGGCTATATAGATCATATAGTGAAAGTGCATTATTTCTTTGAAAATCTTCTTCTCTGCTCCTGGGTATTAAATAAAGTTACTAAGTACATAGTTATGATGAGCAAGAGTGCCTCTTCCAAAATTGTGAAATTCATGGCCCCAGGGTCAGGGGTTCTGGTGTTAGGGTGGGGCTCTATTGATTATATATAGTGAAAATGCATTATTTCTTTGAAAATCTTCTTCTCTGCTCCTGGGTATTAAATAAAGGAACTAAGTACACAGTTATGATGAGCAAGAGTGCCTCTTCCAAAATTGTGAAATTCATGG